TCCTGAGAAAGTTTCCAGCAGGCTCTTCTCTTCAATTTTATTAAACCATTAGCGTCTTAGAAGCTATCAATGCTTTAAAAAGTTTCTCTTTTCTCTCTGATCCTCTGGAGTTGCAGGCAGGCTTCACAGCGAGGAGCTTATATATTGCATATGTTAGATTCCCCCAGTTCTGGTTTTCTGTCCTTGGGTCTGTTTTTGAATTCCTTTCAACACTCTCCATGTGCCAATTTACACGACAAGTTGTGGAAGAGAACTGCAGTCCCAGGGCAGGACTGAGCAGGGGGACCTCAATGTTCCCTCCCTTTCCATTCAATTTTCCCCTTCTTTGCCATTCTTCTCATTTCTCAGTATCTCATCCACCACTGTTCTTTACTTTCACATGACGCCTGATTTTACAAGCCATTTCACTGGGAACCTGGTAAGTGGCATGGGATAAAATATGCTTATATACATATTTATTTTTTTATGTACATTTTCTTTTCAAAGAAGCTGATGAAAGAAGTTCAGACCTTATTGGAAGTTCAGACCCAAATCTCAAGTTCATCAGAGGTGAGGAGAAACCCAGAGATACACATTAGGCACAGAGCCCTTTGTAATAAAGGAATTTAAAAGATATTTTCCAAGTCTGCGTGTTTAGAGTTGGAAAGTTTATTTGTTGGTTGGTCAGTGTTTTTTTGTAGTAAAGGAAATATCAGAATTAATCCCCCACAAATGCTGACAAGATCCAAGAAATAGAATTTGCATTGGAATTAATGCATCCCAGTAAAAATTGAGAACACAAAGGCCTTGCAATCACAGTGAAGACATCTATCCTAGGAAACTGGAAATATTCCTGAGTGCGAAGACTCAGCTGCCATCACTGGGACCCCCAGAAACATTCCTGAGAGCAGTTTTTGGAGGAATAACACCAGGAATGTCCCAGAAAATTCTTCAGCACTGCTCAGAAATCAGCTCTGAGAAAGGACCTCTATCTGCAGGGTCTGAGACGCCAGTGTTGTGGACACAGCCAGATCATGCCTGCCAGTCCCAGAGCCACATTATAGGTCCAGGCCCAATTTAGTTTGCTTGAAGGGTTATAGCTTGTGGCATTTCTGACTCCCCAAAGGTTGTTTTAATTTAGCTAAAATGATGCTAAAGCTTGCATTTTACCCTCCAAGAGGCACATCTGTGATAATCACAGGTGTGAGCAGCACACACAGTGCAGCAGCAATCCTGGTGCCCTCTGAAATCTACTGTACAGTAAAGTACACAGAGGGAAATGTTATCCTGTGGATCCATTATGTGATTCCCTCAGTTTCCAGTAAGGCCAATAGAAATGGACGGTTATCTCTAGTGTATAAAAGTCACTCATTTTTGACCTTCCAGCACTAGAATTTAAGGGGATTAGTTTAATTTCAAAATACGTGGTGTTATGAAGGAGTCAGTATTCCCTTTGTAAATCATGTCCCACTCATGGAACAAGAATGTCTTTTTGGGTCTCAAGCATGCAGCCAAAGTTCAGAATCTCCATTCACTCTCCTGTTTGGTATGCCGTGGTATGTAGGAGCCATGCTGGACTACACAGTCTCAAGTAATAGAATGAGACAGATGTGTACATCTCTTTGCAATGATGAAAGGGATGTTCTGGTACTATAGTGGTGTATGAAGTCATATAGGTAGCCTGAAAAGAAGATGTTAAATGTTTAGAGGAAGGCCTTGCTTGCTTAATCCTCTGTTCTATGCCTGGCAATGCTGGTAACTGTAGCTGTACAATAATCTCCACTGTGAAACAGATTTTATTTCCAACAAAATGTTTGGTGAACTGCAGGTAATTGTCACCAAGTTGGTGTGAGGAAGAGAACTGCTTCCTTTAGACACTCAGCTCAACTCTAAGTAACTCCGTAGTGATTTATTCTGTTCAGGCTCCTTCCCTGAATATAGTACCAAAAGAACTCAACCCTAAACAGTAGAAACCAGGTATTTTGAGATACCTAAGGCAATGAAAACCATCCTAACAACTGACTGAATGCAAACACAACAAAAGGAGTGCTCACCTGGAAATGAGACTGGGTGCAATAATATGGAGACTGAGTGGCTGCCCCAGCTCATGTGCTAGGGATGCAATGAGAGGAAGAGGAGACACAGTTGGACGCGTCAGGTAAGATAAAGCACTCACTGCTCTGCCTAAGTCTTGGCAGTATCGCAGTTGCAGAGCTCAGAGAAGCATGGTCCCTACATGCTGTTGAGGTAGGAGTGTAGAGAGACAAGTGACCTCTGTGACACCAGGAATGGTATAGGAGGCACTTAAAAAGGTATCACTAATGTCACTGGAAACAAGTGAAGTTCTTCCTTTCAGAGGATGAAAAGACAGTCTGAAGAGGCACCTCCACCTCTCGCTCATTGCTTTTCACACTGTGTCCAAAGCATCCATGTTGTCTAAAACTCTTGCCTAGGAAAGTTACTTAGAGTGATGTAATATTCCCCTTAAAGTCACTTTTATCTCTCTTTCTTCAAAGGAACTGATTCATTAGTGTTGCTGTGGAGTTGTCCTTGACTTTAGTCAAGAGGCAGGCACTCCCCTTGACAGGAGACCTATTATCTTCACTGCTTCTGCTAGATGGACAGTGCATTTCAGTCATTTAAATGTCACAGTTGGAAGCTACAAATAAATCTGTGGAGTAGAGCATCTCATAAATACCTTTTCATGGAAGAAAGTGAGAGAAAAGCACCACTAATGATTCCCAAACTGAAGGGAAATCAACTGTATCAATCTATGCACTAGATTTTTGCAGTATCTTTCTCCCTGTTAGGGACCTCCTGTGATTTGCAGCAGAATGGTTTGGGCAGTAATTAGGAGGCAACCAGAAAATTTAAAAATTCCTGAAAAAAAACTTATAAGGAAAAAAAAAAAAAGAGGGGGAGAAATGATTTAAATATTTAATGATGTCATCTTTTCTTTTATGTTTCACGATATTATAAAACTATGCTATCACAAGCTGTAATAGCATAATAGGATAAAATTGGATAACTGAAGAGACCTGTGCATGAGATTCCCCTATAATGGAGCATACTAATTTGGGTGGGTTTTTTTGGTTGTTTGTTTGTTTGTTTTTTGGAGGAAGTAAGTGGAATACATTTTTTTTTGTTTGTGATAGTCAGTCCTATTTCAGTAAAGTGACTGCCATGGGTACTGTAAGTGGTAAGTGTGCTTGGACAACTGGATAATTACAGCTGATGTTCTCAAATGTGTTACCCTGCTTTATTCTAATTTTACAGACCGTGTGCCTTTCGCATGGAGACCATCACTGTATTTATGAAAAGCATTATGGAGGAAGCAAGAATGCAGTTAGGACATTTTAAACTGAGAGAAAATGAGTATCTCTGCTCTTGTAAATGATGAAAAAAAATGTCTGAAATGAAGTAGATGCTGACATTCAGAAAGAATTGTACCTGCAGCTATTGAATTCCCTATCCATTTTTGGCACATTAGATACATGTAATTTGCTTCCTCTGTATTAGCTCTATCTATATATACACAAACATTCTCTGCATTACCTAATCTTGGAAAGACAAGCAATATGTAATGATCTGATTCATAAACTGCAGAAGTAGTGTTCTCACCATTGATGATGACAATGAATCATTCAGACTGAAATACCGGCTTGCATTACATCTGTTCTGGTATTACCTTCTGCTGCTTACAGCAGTGAGGGGGAGCTCTGTTTGAAAATGAGAAACTGAGTGATCTGAAAGACAATATGCTGCAAACAGGGCATTCAGATGGCACTGCCCTTTTTACTGACTTTCACCAAGACTTTGTTTGTTTCGAGTCTGTAAGTATTGTAGAATAGTATTGTAAAATATAAAAAGGTAGCCTAGCTATATTTCTTCCTCTCAGAATACTTGGTGAGTGACACAGCCTGAGCATTGCAGTCCTTGCCCATTATGGGTTGTTTCCTAGAAACGTGTTGGCCAGGGGGCTCCAAGGAAGTTCTACGAGATCCCACTCCTACTCCCTGTAGCCATGCCATGTGGTGAGCAGATCCAAGCAAGCATTTTAGTTTACCAGCTCTGAGTCTTCATTTGCTTTAAATATTTAGTGCAAGCTGATTGGCCGCCCATTGTCTGCAAGAGATGGAGGAATGGAGGAGACTAATTTGGCTGAGATTGTGCAAGTGCAAAATGATGATTATGGGATTTGTGAAGCAATGCTGGCAATTATGCAAGTGCCAGAAGGGAGGAAGCACACTTCCCATTGCCTGTGCAGTGGCAGCTGGCTCCTGAGTCTGAACCTCAGCAAGCATAGTAGAAAGGAAATGGTGTCACCTAGGCTACTGTGGGTGTGCATGCTGTCAGCTCCTTTGTGGGTACCTTGAGAACCTTTAACAGGTACTAAGGAGTAGCATGCACCAGACTGCTATGAAGCAGTTCTTCTGGGCCTGTTCCTTGTTGAGATGGGTGCAGGATACATCTGCCTGCTGAGCAGAGCTGCTCTCTAGGAGGCCACTGCACCTGTGCCCCAAGCTCTGTGCTGGCAGCCTGCTGGGTTCTCCAGACAGTGGCTTCCATATACAGCTGACATGCTCTGGAAGGCTGAGGACATCAGACCATTTTCTGTCTGCTCGAGGGGTTGGGTTGATGCTGAGTGCTTCTGGAGATCAGGGTGCATTAAAAAGAGCGTGGCCAGCAGATGGAGGGAGGTGATTGTTTCCCTCTACTCTGCCCTGGTGAGGCCACATCCAGAGTGCTGTGTCCATTTCTGGGCTTCCCAGTTCAAGACGGGGAACTTCTAAAGAGTTCAGTGGAAGCCACAACGATGATGAGACCCGAAGCATCTCCTTTATGAGGAAAGGCTGAGAGCCCTGGGGCTGTTCAGCCTGGAGAAGGCTGCGAAGGGATTTTATCAATGCTTATAAATATACCCGAAGGGTGGGAATTGTTGTGGATGGGGCCAGGCTCTTTTCAATGGTGCAGTGCAGGCTAAGGGGCACAACGCAAAACATGGGAAGTTCCGTGAGAACATGAGGGAGGTCTTCACTGTGAAGGTGACAGAGCACTGGAACAGGCTGATGAGAGGTGGTGGAGTCTCCTTCTCTGGGTGTATTCAAGAGCTGCCTGGGCACCCACCTTGGTAGCCTGCTGTAGGGAGCTGCCTTAGCAGTGGGGTTGGACTTGGTGATCCCAGGGGTTCCTTTCAACCCCTGTGGTTCTGCAACCCTGTGCTTTTCCTCTCAGGGCTCTCAAGGCACACGAGTGCACCAACTGGGGGAAAGACTTGCCAAGTAGAAACTGTTAGACTTTGTCCTGATCCAAAAACACATCCTATCAGATACTCGGATGAGCCTTGTGCACCGTGGGATTTGCATTCACTTTCACATGTGCCACAGATCACGACAGAGAGTCTTTGTGGTACCTTTTATCAGATGGGGCTTAATTGCGAGTCTCCAAAAAATCACGAACCAGAAAAGGCGATTGTTCTCCCTTTGACTCCAGGCGCATGTCATAGCACTACAGCTGAAAGCCGATTGCTGGAATGACACCCAGGTGCCGCTAGACGTGGCGCTGCTTGCCGCGACCACGCGTGGAAGCGTGACTTCATTCCTTTCCGCGCGGCACCCCGTCGTTAGACCTGCCCCCCGCTTCTCAGCCTTTCAGGTGCGTGCTCGAACCCGCTCCAAGCGCACACGTTCAGGTTCCCCAACAACCGAAATTCACGGCGCTCAGACGACCGCCCCTCACCCTGCCGATCGCCCCCGCTCCGTAGCCCTGCCGGAGCCGCTCCCGGCGGCGAGGGGGGCCCGGCTGGCTAAGCCGAGCAGCGCTGCCGGGTGCCGCCGGTGGCTGCGAGCAGGAGCGAGGGCGGCCGCTCCCCGGCCCCGCGGGCCGCCCGCCGCCTCGCCCACGCGCGGGCCGCCTCCCCGCCTCCCGCGGGCACTTCCCCTGCACGGCCGCGGCCAGGGGAAGGCGGCTCCCGCCGGG